TAGTGAACATTCATTTCTTTTTAATGAGTCCTTCTAAGTTAAGAGTAACCAATCTTCAAATTCTCATCTGAGAATTCATTTTGCATTGGTTCTCTTACGATCTAAATTCATGGCAATAGACAATAAAATCCTAGAAAGTATGTTGTTCTTCTAAGATGGTGCTTCAGGATAGAATATTGTTGGAAAACTAATAATTAGTTTTAAATACAACAAATATTTATTGTTGCTATGACTGGGAGAAATACTTCTTCAAAAGTAAGTACTGTTTTTCCTTCATTATAATCCTGATAGTATTGGTGCCATCCATTTGCTTTTATAAAGTCTGTATCGAATCCAAAAGATCATTAATAATGACAGATGTTTTTGTCAGCCCATTACATCAATTTTGGAAATTATTCTCGATGTAGAGCAATATTCTGCTTATTGTGTATAAAAATAAAAGCTGTGGGTGCCTACAAGAGCCTTTCAAAATATCCACAGACCAAATATGACCTGAAGGATGCCAGTCTGACTGTTCAACAACTTCTCACTTCAAGCATTACAAAACTCTGAATACTAAAGATATTGATAAATCTCCTCTATGTTTAAAACTTCTATTTAAGAAATATAAAAATTGCCTCAAAAATATATAAGTTTTTAATAATTTATTTTAGAGGATCCTTACTAGGATTAATTTAAGTCAATCCTGCTAGTATTTTAGGCCCTTTCCTTTCAGATTTATTTTTAGCAGACTCTCCTGTGTTAACATTTTCTGACTGAACATATTCTAAGTGTGCTGGAAAGACCAAAATTATAATATTATAGGTTTTCATCAAGTTTAAGTTCCACATCTCACACCAATCAATTTTACAACCTTAGGTTATATATTGACCTTGCTAAATTTCAGTTTCCCACAACTTAATGATGATGATCATCCTAATGCAAAAACTGTTTAATACATAGTATTTTCTTAGACCTTGAAGCTTTTCTCACCAACATATATTTGACTAACCTGTTATCTTAAAAATAATTTAATAAGAAAAATTAAAATTTGGTTTCAATGACACTATTACCAAATAAATGCAAAATTAATCTTTCTCCAAAAATTCCTAAACGGGAGAACATGAAAACCCAAGAGGACAGTTGTTTGATGCTAAAGAAAAACATGTTGACCTCACCATATTTCAGAAGCCGCTCAATTAAAATACTCAGCAATGTGCCTTAGTATTTTGTTTTACTACTGATGAATATGAATTTTTTCACATTTACACAGAAAATCTTACAAAGTTGAGTGAAAGAACATTCACTTTTTCCATTTTCTTTTTACAGCGTTGCTACCTAGATTTTGCAAGAAAATGTAATAATTTTGTTTCATAATGAATTTCTGACATAGTCAAAATATATAGACATAGAGATTACTATTACAACATAACATGAAAACAATTCTAGTACAAGTTTATTTCAGGAAATCATTCTCTTAGCAATTTAAATATGAATTTTTTCAATCATATACAAAAAATTATCAATAATGGTATGTTTTAAAAAGATATTTTATTAGCTTAAGTTATGAATTATAATGCTGTATTTGGAATTTTTAAAACACTGTATTTCAGAATCATGGGATTTACTAAATGATAAACTTAACCGTATCATATTAGTATATAAAAGACTATGTAAAAACAAAAAATGCGTATTTTATATCACCTACAACCTTTTGATCACAGGTAAAACTTCTGAGTCACAGTAAACACTAAGAAGGCATTCATTAGTTATGGAAGCACACATATATGTGTTAGCAATTTCTCTATAAAGGGATAACACTTTACATAATTAATGGTTTCTTAAAATTAACACTGGAACACACTAGAGTTCAGTACCTAAAGTCACTGGTAGATTCTTCTATAAAACAAAGAATAAACCCCCTTCAACAAATATTATTGCTCCTTCCACATCAAACCAAAAATACCAGATACAAGGCTACAATCATTAGCGTTGGTGAGTATTTAAAAAAAAGAAAAAAAAGTAAAACGATATAATAGCTCCCCCTTATCTGTAGTTTCTCCTTCCTCAGTTTGTTAGCCACGGTGAACTGAGGTCCAAAAATATTAAATGAAATATGCCATAAATAAACAATAAGTTTTCAACTGAGCAGCATTCTCAGTAGCACAATGAACTCTTTTGCCTTCTAGCTCCATCCCTCTCTCGACATGAATCACCACTTTGCCCAGCATATCCACGCTATACATGCTCCCTGTTCAGTAGTCACTCAGCCATCTCAGTTGTCAGGTTAACTGTAGAGGTACTGCAGTGCCTGGGTTCAAGTAAACCTTACTTTACTTCATAATGGTCCCAAAACACAAGAGTAGTGATGCTGGCAATTTGGATACGCCAGAGAAAAGCCACAAAGTGCTTCCTTTATGTGAAAAGCTTCTATCAATAGGAAAAAAACATAGTATATATAGGGTTTGGTGCTATCCTAGATTTCAGGAACCCACCAGGGGCACCGGAATGTTTCCCCCAGGGATAAGGGGAGAACAACTGTAAGGCAATAAACACTGAAATGCAAATAAGTCAACCCTGGCTGCCTATCAGAATCACCCAGAGAGCTTGTCCAGAAACACCAAGGCTCAGACTCCACCACTCCTCCTCTGCCAGACCCCACTAAATTTTGATTCATCAGTAGTTTTTAAATGGCCTCCAACTGATTCTAGGGTAGCCAATATTAAAAACTAGGGCTGTTTGTTTTACAAGAGGGGCAGTCCAAGTATAAAAATGTACACAGCACATGCACACACAATATAAGCAACATCTGTTTTCCTACTTCTCTCACCTCCCGCAGACCTCGGATCCTTGGTGCCAGTTTCAGAGAAGAGGAGGAAAGTTTGGGCCTTTTAGAGACTGTTTAAAGTTTACAGGAGAAAAACTAAAAGACACTATGGGAAGCAGAGATAGTGTAGGACAGCTGTCCTTGGGACAATCACCCGCTATACAATGTAGGGCTATACTGCCTACATGGTGCTTTCTCCTCAAATGATTAGATTTTACCCCACTTTATTACACTACCTGAAATTCCATCATTTATGGACTTAATTATCTTAACAACCATTTTCTTACAAAATGCCAATCACCCAGGGACACCAGTCTCCTCTCTAAGTCTGTTTAATAAAGTTACTTTTCTTGCTAATACCATGACAAGAGCAGGTGAGTTTAAAAAAGGAATGTTCTGAAAGTGGAGATGGGAGGATGGATATCCTGAAATGTGAAACACTTAGGGAAGCAATACATATCTAAGTGACTTAAGAACATTTAGTGTTCAAAAAGAGTTAAGTCAGTGAAGAAAAAAAAAACAAGAAAATACGAGCACCTGAACTAATTAACCTTTAGGAACTCTTCCAACTCTGAGATTGTAAGAGTCTATAAAAATACCAAAGTCAAGGGTCTCCTCCACCCTTTCCTTTCCTACATAAAAATTCCTTCCTCCTAAGACACAGATCTCAGGCTAGTGAGGCTAACACATGAGTTTTACTATCTGTACTTTGAACACCACAAACTACTCAAATACTGTTAGGATTATAAATCTTACTTTTAAGAATACACATTAGTTATAATATGAGTGTGTATGGATTTTTTTTTTTAGGTGGGCCACAAGTAAATCTCCTCAGTAAATATTTAACATTATACGAGTTAATCAACAGATATTTAATCTATCTAATAAAATGCTGAAGAAGAGTAAATTACATTATTATTACAGTTGTTAGACTAAGAACCACACTGAGCCACCTTTAGCTTGAAAAGCATTTTAAAATTGACACAGCTAAAGTGATACAGGCAATTGTGTAGTCTTATTTGCTTACATAGAAAGAAAAGCTTCAAATTAATGAGCTAAGCATTCATTACAAAAGTTTTAAAACTTTCCCACAAACAAAAAAAATAAAAAACAAATTAACATCCAATAAGATATTAGTAGTGGATTTAACGAAGAAATAAACAAGAAAATCATGGAAATACAAAAGAAGCCATATGTATAACCAGAAACACTAATAAAATTAGAAACTCCACATTAATAGAAATTTCTTCCACTTTTTAAAACTCCCTTGAGAATCTGGTGAAAAGGTATATGTTTTCTCCATAAAATTGCAAGCAAACACAAACTTTTGGATAAAATATTTAACTGCTCCAGAATCCCCTGATGCCCACATATGAAATGACTAGGAGTTTGAGATAAGGGTAAGTTCAGGACACCCCAAAGTCAGTAAAGGTTAAGATAAAAAAGAAAAAAATGTAAACATCATCTCTGTGAGGTCAAAATAAAATGAAAACACTAAATTAAAAATACTACTACTACTAAATTGACAGACCCAGCAGTGAACTTTTCAATGCAGATGCTTAATTTAAATTATATGAATCAAATCAAAAGAAAAAAACAAGTCTCTAAAGAAACATATCCTTCAGGATATACCTGAAATTGTACCTCTCTTATTCACCTTCCTATCCCTACTGCTCTATAACACAGAGCACTCTGTACTTTTTCTATGACATATGTTCCTAACAGGTATCACAGACATATGAGTATGTGCCTTATTCCTTCATAGAAATTTAATCTATTCCATAGGAAGTAAATAATCTCACTTCAGGATTCCTGCAGTCCTCAGAATGGACAATTGGTACAGCCATTGAGCTATCAGATCAGCAAAGGAATAGGAACTTTGGGAACTCGAATGTTTTTTTGATATAGAAACAGGAGTACTTTGAAATAATAAATTTGGTCTTAAAAGAATATGTAAAATTTATAATTAATATTTCCATGTTGCCCCGGAGGAAAAAAACGGAGAATTAGAATATGTTGGAGTTGCAGCAAAAACAAGGAAAGAATAAATTCGGTATCTGGATAAATAAAATAATAAACCTCCAACTTGGCTGCTATTTTAACAATAATCAAAGGTCCATTTTTTTATCCAACTACATTTTTACTTTTCTGGGTCAGCTGGTTTGTTTGCTTAAGACATCAAAAGCAATTTTACTTGTGAAAATTTTCATCAGTTTCCTCCAGGTGTAAGAGGATCTCCTCGGCGCACTCCAGGGAGGGAGCACCAGTGATTTTCTCCTTCACGTTCTGGAACAACTGCCTCAGCATCGCCTGTAGCATCGCCTGATCCTCTCCCGAGAAATGGGCCATTCTGTCAAAAATCAAAAGCCCACGCCCATTACTCTGGGTCCGAGGAAACACTGCGCACTGCGCACGCGCGCCCCCATCCTGCCCCGGCCTGCGCGCAGCGCCGTTCCCCGGGAAACCGCGGCAAGCACTTCGGGACGGGCCCTTGGCCGCCCATGCGTCGCTCGGGAAACTAGTCATCTTACTTTGGGGAAGCAGAGGTCCGCAAGGCCTCCGCCTTTGCTGCTCTTTGTGGCTGGTCTTCCGTATCAATAGAGCTCAAGGTGCTCCGCACGTAACCGCAAAAAACATCTCCAGAAGACTCAGAGAGTTGGGCCTTGACGGTCGGACGTCAGCGCTACGTGTGACGTCAGCACGTAGGTGGGCGGGAGTGCTTGCAGATGGCCTGCGGGGTTCATGGAAGATTGCTTGGTAGTGCACTCCCTTCCTTTGGGATTATAGGTGGGAGGGAAAAGTGCAAAGGAGAAAGGTCAATAAAAGTAAAATAACGAAAGTGAAACTGAAATCGCTGGAAAAGTTTCAACTGAAGAGGGAACGGTATTGAAAGGTTGCAATGCTGTTTTCATTTAACAGCTAATCCTACCCTTTACCAAGCACTTGCCGGGACCTATGAAGACACCCTCATAATCTAGCAGACACAAAAAGGAGTTAATTACAACTCGGTGCAATTAAAGTTCATACTAGAGAAATGGGCCAGTGCTGTGGAAAGCCAGAATCATCTTTTAATCCAGTAGAAAAGTTGAGGAAGGGAAAACAAACTATATGCGATATGCAAAGGATAGGAACCTGAAAGAGTGTAGCGTATTCTGATATTTGAGTTAGTAAAGTTGAAAAGAGAAAGTAAGGAGTCTAGAGAAGTAAATGGATCACCTCTGGAAAAGTCTTGTTTGGCACTTTTAGGGGATTAGAGAATTATCTTGCAAGTAGTAGGGCACATATGGATTTTAGACCCCATGGGATACCGCCTGTAACGCTTACTCTGCAAGAAACTGCAATGTATAATCATGTTTCCTCATCCAGTTTTCAATCTTGATAAATGCCCAGACCATGGTCATGTCCAAACTAAAATAAGCCAACCGCAACCCAAACCATGGATAACAGGCAGTGTCATTAAATCCTCTCTCACCAGCTTATTTTACTCCCCAGTCCAACATCTGATTCACTCTGTATGTTAGCCAAGATCAATAAGCTCTGTCTATGCTACTACTTCCAGGGACATAAGTGTATGTCTTTGGTAGCCCTAGCAGCATGTTTCCTGGTAAAATGCATATTTAATCTCCATTGCCTCATGACTACATAAAGGGGAAAAAAAAATTTAGCAGAGTATGCACACTACTAACTTTATGTGTGGGTGAAGCTATAAAATTCAATACATATATGTGCATATGTCTGTGAATAGCATCACCAGCAAGGTCTGGTGTCACAGCAACATAGTCTGACTAATGCAAGTGTGTCGTACTGGCAACTCAAGTCCAGGATTAATATAGCCATTAATGATGTGACTTTCTGAAATAGTAAACTGCTATTAGTAAAATTCAGAACAAAATTAAAATACTCTTCTCTTGATTTACAAAGTTTATACAATCATAGAAAATTTAGTGTATTAAAACTGATAAAAGTCATTTTTATATAATGGAAAGAGTTCCTAGACTCAGAAATTTATCAAGGGCTTTTCATCTACATGAATGTCCAGCAGGACCATTGAAATTCACAAAGGAGCCAGAACAATTATTTTGTGTGGGAGATAATCCTATGTGTATTTCAAGGTGTTTGCCATCCCTAGCGCACATTCAAATGTTAGGAAGTAACAATCACTCATTGTGATGAAAAAATGTCCACATGTATCTTAAAATGCCTGGTTGGTTGGGGAGAGGTGTGGAAATGAACTGCATAGCATGAAAACTTCTGTTTCAAAAAAATATATTAACATAGAAAGAAGAAAAATAACCTTAAAAGAATGCATGAGATGCAAGAAGAAAAGATAGACAAAAAGGGAATATGGGGGGATGCATTTAAGTAAATTTCAATAAACATTGTCTGTATAAAATAATAATATCAATACTCTAATTTGTTAAGATAAAAATGCATAGTACTAAAAAGCTGTAAGTGACCATGTGTGAGTAGGAAGTATAAGTTGAAGTATTCTGAAACCCTTGTATTTTTCAAATTATATTTCATTTATTTTGCTACTACAGTTTTCCCAATTTTTCTCTCTTTACCTCACTCTGCCCAGCAACCCCCACACCCTCAAGCAATTCCCACATCATTGTTCATATCCATGGGTCATGAATATAAGTTCTTTGTCTACTCCATTTCCTATACCGTACTTTACATTCCCATGCCTACTCCATAACTCCCTTTGTGTACTTAATCTCCTCACTTCTTCACCCATTCCCCTATACCTCCCTCCCATCTGGCAACCATCAAAATGGTCTCTATATCTATGATCATGTCCCTGTTCTTCTTGTTTGCTTAGTTTGTTTTTTAGATTTAATTGTTGATAGATATGTATTTATCACCATTTTATTGTTCATAGTTTAGATCTTCTTTTTTTTGAATAAATCCCTTTAACATTTCACATAATAAGCGCTTGGTGATGATGAACTCCTTTAACTTTACCTTATCTAAGAAGCCCTTCAATTCTAAATGATAGCTATGGTGGCTAGAGTGATCTTGGCTGTAGGTACCTGCTTTGCATAACTTTGAATATTCCTTGCCAATCCCTTCTAGCCTGCAATTTCTTTTGAGAAATCAGCTGACAGTCTTATAGGGACTTCCCTCTAGGTAACTAAAATCTTTTCTCTTGCTGCTTTTAAGAATACCTCTTTATCGTTAACCTTTGGCATTTTAATTATGATGTGTCTTTGTAGTGAGCCTCTTTCCATCCGTGTTGTTTGGGATTCTCTGTGCCTCCTGGACTTGCATGCCTAGTCCTTCACCAAATTAAGAAAGTTTTCTTTCATTATTTTTTCAAATAAATTTCCAATTTCTTGCTCTTTCTCTTCTCCTTCTGGCACCCCTATGATACAAATGTTGGAACATTTGAAGTTGTCCCAGGGAATGCTTACACTATCATCTCTCTTTTTTTTAATTCTTTCTTCTTTTTGTTCAGATGGGTTGTTTTTACCTCCCTTATGTTCCAAATCATTGATTTGATTCTCGGCTTCATCCACTCTACTGTTGTTTTCCTGTAAATTGTTCTTTTTTTCAATTAGTGTATCCTTTGTGTCTGACTGGATATTTTTTATGCTGTTGAGGCCCTCACTAAGTTCCTTGAGCATTCTTATAACCAGTGTTTTGAACTCTGCATCTGACAGATTGCTTATCTCTATTTTTTTAGCTCTTTTTCTAGAAATTTGATCTATTCTTTCATTTGGGCCATATTCCTTTGTCTCCTCATTTTGGCAGCCTCCCTGTGTTTGTTTCTATGTATTAGATAGTGCTGCTTTGACTCAGTGTCTTCGTAGTGTGGCCTTAATGTAGTAGATGGCCTGTAGGGTCCAGTGGCACAGCCTCCCCCATCACCCAAGTTGGGTACTCGAGGTGCACCCTTCATGTGGGCTAAGGACACCCTTCTCTTGTAGATGAGCCTTGACTATAATTGGCAGATCAATAAGAGGGATCTATCCAGGCTAGTCACCTGCAAGGACTGGCTGTGACCACTTACCACCAACCTCTTCCCTCCATGGAGGATTAGCTGTGCACAGGCAGGGTGGTAGTGCTCCAATATGGTCTCTGGCCATCCAGGGAGAGTACAAGTTCTGGGGTTTCCCTTGTGGTGCAAGCCAAGGTCAGCCACCTCCTGTGTTCTGCCCACAGCCACCTTGCATGAGCTATAAAGCAATGTGACATGGCTGCTATTTGTGCCGGGCTTGGAGATTTACAGGCAAAACCAAGATGTGAATCTAGGCTGATTGATATTAATGCTGGGCCTGGGACCACTTAGCAAGAGGTATGAGCCTGGAGGCTCACAAAGGCTCACTGTTGCTTGTTTGAAAGGATTTAGGAATTTGTGATGAATTAGCCAAGACCAGCCATTCACATGGAAAAGTCACTGGGTGAGCCTAAAAGTTGGGTGGGACAGAGTATCAGGGGATCTCCAGGGCAGGGCAAACAGTGTTAACCGGGTTGATGGAGTCTCAGATATAGCACCCACCTGCCAGCTCTGTGCCTCTGTATGGGGAGGGTTCAGAAAAAGTACAATGGCCTCTACCCACCTTTATGTCTGTGAGAATGCTGTCCTCTAGCTCTTGCCTTGATGCCAGACACTTCAGTTCCTCCCTGTATGCCACTGGTGCCTATCAAGCTGCTACCCTGGTGCTGGAGCTCAGAGAGATTGATTCTGTGTAAGTCCACATATGGGTTCTTTAAGAGAACTGCTTGGGTCTCCAGAAGTTTCTTCCTCTCACTCAATCCCCACTGTTTTTTGCAGCCAGAAGTTATTAGTACTCATCTTCCTGATGATGCTGGAACCCTGAGCTAGGAGCCTCATGTGGGGCTGGGACTCTTCACTCCTGAAATATACTTCCTGAATTTTTATCCATTGCACATGGATGTAGGACCAGATCATTTTGTGTCTCTACCTCTCCTACCAGTATTGATGGATGTGGTTTCTTTAATTCTATAGTTGTCAGACTTTCATTCAAGGGATTTCTGACAGAACTGAGTGATAGCTGTTCTGTAGTTTAGTTATAATTTTGATGTGGTTGTGCAAGGAGGTGAGCTGTGTTTACCTATGCTGCCATCTTGACCGGAAGTCCCATACTTTTCTAAAGGAAGTTTAAGACATTAAACTTTGTTAGGTAGGCATGGTAAAATTTCTAATGTAACCATTAAGATTAAAATTTACATTTGAAAAATTGGAGGGAAATAAAATAAGGAGAGGAAAAAAACCTCAATGAATTTGAAAGAAAAGTCATGAAAGAAAACAAAAGCCTAGGAAAAATTGAAAAAAATTAAAATGTACAAAGACATGATACATGATAGAAAAAGTCCAAAATACT